AGGTGGATCACGAGGTCAAGAGATCGAAACCATCCTGGTCAACATGGTGAAACCCCGTCTCTACTAAAAATACAAAAAGTTAGCTGGGCATGGTGGCGCGTGCCTGTAATCCCAGCTACTCAGGAGGCTGAGGCAGGAGAATTGCCTGAACCCAGGAGGCAGAGGTTGCGGTGAGCCATGATCACGCCATTGCACTCCAGCCTGGGTAACAAGAGCGAAACTCCGTCTCAAAAAAAAAAAAAAAAAAAAAGTTCAAAATTGGCCAGGTATGGTGGCGCTTGCCTGTAATCCCAGCTGCCCTGAAGGCTGGGACAGGAGAATCGCTTGAACCTGGGAGGTGGAGGTTGCAGTGAGCTGAGATTGCACCATTGCACTCCAGCCTGGGCAACAAGAGCGAAACTCTGTCTAAAAAAAAAAAAAAAACTTTAATATTTCCGGTAAGTATAGTTACGAAGTCAGAGCACTAGGCAGAGCAGAGGGTAGTCTCTCTCAGTGTGGAATTGGCAAATTCATGCCATCTTCTCCCACCCCACCCCGTAAACATTGCTAATCAGTTCCCTCATTGAACAGATATTTGTTGGGCTATGAAACAGGCACTGTTGTAGGAATTAGGGATATATCAGTAAACAAAATAAAAGTCCCTGCCCTTGTGGAGCTTGCACTCCTACACTCTAGGAGGCTGGTTATAAACAGTATGCACAGGGAGCGTACGTGAAAGGATAGCTGGTGAATGATACAGCAGAGTAGAAAGACAGGAGGAGTGGATAGAGTATTAGACGGGGTGTCCTTGGAAGTCTAATTGAGAAGATGAGGGCCGAGCAAAATCTTGAAGAAGGGAGTGAGCTGGCAGCTCTCTGGATGTGGGCTTTCCTGAGAGAAGCACTGGCTAGAGCAAAGGCCCTAAGGGGGGGTATGCCTGGTGTGTTTGACAGATAGCAAGGGAGCCCATGTGGCTGAACAGGATTAGAAGCCAGCGAGGGGAAGAGGTGATGGAGAGCCAGAGCAGTCACTTGAGGGCTAGAGTCCCAGAGCACCCGGAGGCCTGAGTAACTAGAAGGATGGAGTTGTCCCTGGCTGAGATGCGGAAGGTTGGTTGGCATAGAAGATCAGGAGTTTGGTTTGGATTACCTAATACTGGGAATCTAATATTGAGTTACGTATTAGATTCAAAAATTCTGAAGAGACTGGTGGCACATGGGTGATATTTAAAGCCATGAGAGAAGATGAAATCTTTAGGGTTATGAATTTAGACAAAAGAAAAGAAATTAAAACATCAAAACTTAGCCCTAAGACATTAAGAGGTTGAAGAGAAGAGGAGGAACTGAGAATGCAGACCAAGAAAGAGAACTAGTCAGATAAGAGGAAAACCAGGGAAACTCAGTGCAGACAGTGTTTCAAGGAGAAGCGACTGCTGAATATGTCACATGCTGCTGCCAAGCCAAGTAGGGTCAAGACTGAGAATTCGTCTTTGGATTTAGCACTGGAAAAATCCTGGTGACCTTGGAATGACCGTTTTCAGTACAGTGGGGCAAAATTGAGTTAGTGAATATCAACAGCTTAGTTTTGCTGCAAATATGAACAAAGAAGCAGGGCAGTAGCTGGCAGAGAAAGTAGACTGGAGTGTGCCTACAGAGGATGACAAGTTAATGTGTGAGGACACGGGGAGAGTTGCTGAAGCCATGTCCTTGAGTGGGCGATGGCTTGGGTCCAGTGTTAAGAGCAGAGAGATTGGCTCTAGATACGAGCTTGGAAAGTTCATCTGCGGGAACTGGTGGGAAGGTAAGCGAGTGTGGGCCAGATGCTGGCAAGCCAGGAGATGTAGTGATAGGAGTTTGTGAACACGCTCTTCCGACTGCTCTAATTTTCTCAATTCAGTAGGAAGTGTAGCCATCAGCTGACCGTCGGGATAAGAGAAGGGATGGAAGAGAAAGAAAGTATCAGATAGTTTTCTAGGACAGGGGTCAGTAAACTTGCTCTTAGGGGCCATAGAGTAAATATTTTACACTTTGCAGCCATAGTTTCTATCACAGCAACTCACAACTTTGCCGTTATAGTCTAAATGCAGACATAAGCAATAAATATACCAATTTTTGAGTCATCTTCCATGGCCATGTTCCAATAAAACTTAATGCACAAAAACAGGCATCAGCCCCTGGGCTACAGTGTTCTGACTTCTGTTGTGGGAGAATGGAGGCCTGAGAGGCTAGCGATGTAGAGTGATGATTGCCTACAGCAGGAACGCTCCACTCGAGGCTTGTGGCCACATACTGACAGTGAAAATACCAAATCCAGCCACATAGGTACAGGGATAGAGTAGATGGAGAAGTGGATCTATTGTTTTGCCAGGTAATATGGTGAAGTGACCTAGGGGCAAGGGAGCTGAGGGTCTGTGAGAGGCAGTGAGTAATTGACTCACTGCCAGTTGAGTCTGGAATTGACTCAATTGACTGTGGAATTTCAGCTGAGTTAGGAGGACATCTAAAGTTGAGAATCAGCAGATGGGCAGTCCCAGGGGATTGTTGGAGTCAGAATGCCAGATGGCATGAGTTGGAAGGAGAGGATGTGGTGGTCTGAGAATAAAGGGGTTGCCATTATTAGTAAGCTTAAGGTAGGAAGTGTGACTGGCTGATGTATGTGGAGGACACAATCATTGGGGCAGAGATCAAGACCCAAAAGGCCAAAATAAGAAGATCAGCTCTATATACCTAATCACCAAGAATTAAGGTAGAAGGCCAAGGCCAGCAGATCACCTGAGGTCAGGAGTTAGAGACTAGCCTGGCCAACATGGTGAAACCCCATCTCTACTAAAAATACAAAAAAGTTAGGCCGGCCATGGTGGCAAATGCCTGTAATCCCAGCTACTCAGGAGGCTGAGGCAGGAGAATTGCTTGAACCTGGGAGGTGGAGGTTGCAGGGAGCCGAGATCGCGCCATTGCACTCCAGCCTGGGCGACAAGAGCAAAACTCCGTCTCAGAATAAATAAATTAATTAAAAAGAATTTAGGAATGGAGTGACAGGATACTCTTTCTTGACAATTCAAGATGAGGCCTCAAAATCACTTCCAGTCAGTTCCGATCACTTCCACTTAGCATAAGACCAGAAGTCTGTTCATCTCCAGGTTACTGGTGTGTGCAAATGACAAGGATTAGAAGGTAGGGAGAACAGCATACACAGAAGCGCCGAGCATGACGCAGCCTTTTAGACCTGTCAATGGTCAGTATTGCCCGTAGAGAGGACTAGGAGAGAGGAAGACAAAAAGCCATCTAGTAACGGGGACCCTAAAAAGTGGGCAAAGGTTGAGGATAGCTGAGGGAAACGAGAAAGGAAACTGACCGAGATGATGAAAGAGCATTTACTGTGGCACCGCAGACCCCAGAGAGGGTAGCATTTGTGGATTTACGTGGCTGGACAGGACTTTCCATCCCAGAGGTTGCCACCCAGTAAATGACAGAGCACTATTCTAGGAGGTGTGAAGGATTTAAATTGTGTGTGTGTGTCTGCGTGTTATATGTGTTTCTCCCCACACAGTGCTATCAGGTAGTTGAAAGACAAACTGTGTCTCTGTGAAACAGTAATAACATAGAGTAGTCATTGTTCTAGAACTTAGATGAGAATGAACACTTGAAATTTCCCTAGTTTTTAGTCTTGGTTTTGCTCTGGAAATGGGTTATGATGAATCTGCCATAGTTAATATTAAACCCGAGTAATCTGGGCATTGTTACCTTAATTATAGCAGAAAGTATTCTCTTTTATTTATAGGATTATAAAACAAGAGATGTGACTGATGATGTGAAAAGCATTATAAGATTTGTTCAAGAACATAGTTCATCACAAGGAACAAGAAATGTAAAACATATAGGTCCTTCTGGAAGGTTTACTATGAATATGCTGGTCGATATTTTCTTGGGTAAGTCGTGTTTTGAATGTTTAACATCAATTGAAATTGAACATCTAAAGAATTTATTATAAGCACATAAAAAATCACTTTTGTCTATTTTCTTATAAAACTTGAGTTTCTGAATAAAACTTTTTCAAGTAACAAAAGAAAATCAATTTTTATGAATTATACTATTTTATATAATGTATATGTCACTAGGATAAGATAGTTTCACATACAAAAAAAATAATAAAGTTTATGCAAGTTTATCTGAGTGAGTGGAATGTAACTATCAAAATGTCAGCAAGCAAATAAAATGAGGATTAGACCCATAACAGCATAAAGAACAAGAGAGAGACTATTATCAGATTAGAGCCTTTAAAAATCTCTTAGGGCCGGGCGCGGTGGCTCAAGCCTGTAATCCCAGCACTTTGGGAGGCCGAGGCGGGTGGATCACGAGGTCAAGAGATCGAGACCATCCTGGTCAACATGGTGAAACCCCGTCTCTACTAAAAATACAAAAAATTAGCTGGGCATGGTGGCGCGTGCCTGTAATCCCAGCTACTCAGGAGGCTGAGGCAGCAGAATTGCCTGAACCCAGGAGGCGGAGGTTGCGGTGAGCCGAGATCGTGCCATTGCACTCCAGCCTGGGTAACAAGAGCGAAACTCCGTCTCAAAAAAAAAAAAAATAAAAAAAAATAAAAAATTAAAAAAAAAAAAGAAAAATCTCTTAGGGATCAAGCACAGTAGCTCATGCCTGTAATCCCGGTACTTTGGGAGGTTGAGGTGGGCAGATCACGAGATCAAGAGATCGAGACCATCCTGGCTAACATGGTGAAACCCCGTCTCTACTAAAAACACAAAAATTAGCTGGGCATGGTGGCACACGTCTGTAGTTCCAGCTACTTGGGAGGCTTGCAGGTGGAGATTGCAGTAAGCCTGGGGACAGAGCAAGACTCTGTCTGAAAAAAGAAAAAAATAAATGGACAGTAGGACAGTAAAGAGGAAGACCGAATAAATAGAATATTTGACCCTGAGTGATAGAAATAATTGAAAATAGACAGTAGTTTCAGAGAGAGGGGAGAGAAGACTCCTTAGTAAGATTTTTTTAAAATAAAGACTTAAATAATAATTGAATAATGGAAAAGAAACAAAAATGAGAAGGCGCCGTTAATTTTAAATGATTGACAAATTTAGTGGAGAGGTTGGAAAATGAAGTAAAGAAAGTCTAGGAACTAAGCAAAAAGATATATGAGGCCGGGTGCGGTGGCTCAAGCCTGTAATCCCAGCACTTTGGGAGGCCGAGGCGGGTGGATCACGAGGTCAAGGGATCGAGACCATCCTGGTCAACATGGTGAAACCCCGTCTCTACTAAAAATACAATTAGCTGGGCATGGTGGCGCATGCCTGTAATCCCAGCTACTCGGAGGTTGAGGCAGGAGAATTGCCTGAACCCAGGAGGCGGAGGTTGCGGTGAGCCGAGATCACGCCATTGCACTCCAGCCTGGGTAACAAGAGCGAAACTCCGTCTCAAAAAAAAAAAAGATATATGAAAAACAGAAAGCATAGAAAGGATTGATCCTTAGGACACATAAAATCTGACCAAAATTTTGGGAATAGAAAATAAAGGGAATTGTCAAACCAGTGACATAGGAAGACTTCATAGAGTGGATGAGATAAAAGTTTTGGATTAAAATGCTCAATGAATTCTGAATAAGATGCCTTTAAAAAAAATTTGACATATGTGGCCATGAGATTTGAGAATACTAAGAGTTAAAGACATGTCAGAGAGGAAAAACTTTTCCCCTAACCTCTTAGGTTCAGTGATTGGGGCCTGCAAATTAAACCAACAAAAGACAGATTAGCAAGGGAAAAGACAGCTTTAGCGTGTGTATAGGCGTTCACAGAAAAATGTGGTTCAAAGGGGCAGTTAGAATGTGGGGCTTGTATACCATTTTAATAGAAGAAAATGAGAAGGAGGAGGGGGCCACTTATGGAAAAACAAATGACTTAGGAAAGACAGATGGACTGCTGGGAGACCAGATGGGAGATACAAAGCTTTTACGACAATGTCTGTTTAAGTGTGGTGTGAATCTTATCTCTGTTTAAAAGGGTCAGCCTTCCCTGGTTTTTCCTAGGGAGGGAATTCATGACAGCTGAGTTCTTTTGGGAGGCCCTGCTTTTTGGCGGATAAGAGATTTCAAATGCCTTCTCCTCAAAATAATTTTTGTGCCACAGTGGCATATTCTAGACCCCTTCAGAGACAATCCTGAAAGCTCTGGAAAGAAAACAGGAACCAAAACCAGACTGACATCAGCTTAATATCAGCAATCCTGGAGACCAGCAGACAAAGAAAGTGAGCACACATCGTGATATGATAAGTGGTGGAACCCACCATGGGTCTAGTGAAGAAAACCCATAGTCACAGCCAGGAAGGGCCCGGAAGCAATCCATGCAGACTCACAGAAGGTCAGGAGGAACAGGGCCCACCTGACATACAGAGAGAGTCAGAAAGGAATGGTTTTATTGATAGCAGTGAAGAATGCAAATGTTACTTCTCAACAAAAAAAAGGAGAGAGGCCCTTAGAAACTCCAGGGAAAAGATGTCTCCAAGACAGCAAGATCAAATATAATACAAAGGAAGTTGTGGCCAGGTGCAGTGGCTCACACCTGTAATCCCAGCACTTTGGGAGGGCAGAGTGGGTGGATCACTTGAGGTCAGGAGTTCAAGACCAGTCTGGCCAACATGGCAAAACCTCATCTCTACAAAAAATACAAAAATTAGCTAGGCCTGGTGGTGTGCGCCTGTAATCCCAGCTACTCAGGAAGCCGAGGCAGGAGAATCGCTTGAATCTGGGAGGCAGAGGATGCAGTGAGCTGAGATCTTGCCACTGCACTCCAGCCTGGGCAACCAAGCCAGACTCCATCTCAAAAAAAAAAAAAAAAGTAACATGACTTTGAAAAATTGGTAAAATGTATAAAAAAATAATCTATTTGACCTGGATGTGGTAAACATTCTCCTTTTGGTTCCGTAAGAGCCATGACATTGGCCAGGCATGGTGACTCACACCTGTAATCCCAGCACTTTGGGAGGCCAAGGTGGGTGGATCATCTGAGGTCAGAGGTCAGGAGTTTGAGACCAGCCTGACCAACATGGAGAAACCTCATCTCTACTAAAAATACAAAAATTAGCTGGGCGAGGTGGCTCATGCCTGTAATGTCAGCTACTTAGGGAGGCTGAGGCAGGAGAATCACTTGGGGAGGGGGAGGTTGTGGCAAGCTGAGATTGCACCATTGCACTCCAACCTGGGCTATAAGAATGAAACTCTGCCGGGCGCGGTGGCTCAAGCCTGTAATCCCAGCACTTTGGGAGGCCGAGGCGGGTGGATCACGAGGTCAAGAGATCGAGACCATCCTGGTCAACACGGTGAAACCCCATCTCTACTAAAAATACAAAAAATTAGCTGGGCATGGTGGCGTGTGCCTGTAATCCCAGCTACTCAGGAGGCTGAGGCAGGAGAATTGCCTGAACCCAGGAGGCGGAGGTTGCGGTGAGCCGAGATCGCGCCATTGCACTCCAGCCTGGGCAACAAGAGCAAAACTCCGTCTCAAAAAAAAGAACGAAAAGAATGAAACTGTCTCAAAAAAAAAAAAAAAGAGCCACAGCATTGTTCCAGTTAAGGAAGGAAACTTGTCGTCATGTAAACAACGATTGAAATCAACATCTAGACCTAAACATGGTGACAGGACAGGACAGGATGCAAATGTGAATACTGACGATGTAAAAGTACAATGACCAAAAGTAAACGAAGGCATATACAGGGAAGGCGTGGGTACTGAGAACATGTCACATCGTGGCGAGGGGTAGTGGTCAGAAGTTCTGCCTAAAGTTAGAAACATAATTAGTACATGACCCAATAGTATCATGGAACTAGCAAAATTCAAGGGAGATTAAAACAAAGCAGGGATGGTATGAAAGAGATGAAGCCCCATCATTCATAGTAAAGGGGCAGGGGCAATAGATAAATGTCAGGCTGGTGGACAGACGGCAAGATTTCAGGTCCTTCTGTGTGTAGGGAACCACCTGAACAGCGAAAACAAAAACTGTTTAAAGACTGATTGCCTTGGGAAAGGGAAGGATGAGGCAGGGGAATATTGCTTTTAATTATAAACCTTTCTGGCTGAGTACAGTGGCTCATGCCTGTAATCCCTGGACTTCAGGAGAACAAGACAGGCGGATTCCTTGAGCCCAGGAGTTCAACATCAGCTTGAGCAAGCTGGTGAAACCCCATCTCTACCAAAAATACAAAGATTAGCCAGGCATGGTGGCAGGCACCTGTAGTCCCAGCTACTCCAGAGGCTGAGATGGGAGGATCACCTGCCCCCATGAGATCGAGGTAGCGGTGTGCAGTGATCCCACCACGGCACCCCCAGCCTGGGCAACAGAGCAAGACCCTGACTCAAAAATAACAAAACCGTGTTTCAGCCAACTTTCCTAGTTGTCCTCAGCAGTAGGGTTGCTCCATGCCACCCAGCCCATTGTTAGCAGAACAGTAGTGTTGTTTCTGTAATGTGGCCTTTCAGGGATACAAATTACTTAAAGAAAAATTTGAATAATTCAGGCCATATGGCCAGAAGCCATTTGAAATTGACAATAATATGATTATTTGGAACTCTTTAAAACGGAGCTAAAGCTTTACATAATAACCATTAATTCTGATTGTTATAAATGTCACAAGGGCTCTTAAGTAGATTGTTAAAATAAAATTGTGTATAATATAAACGAGGACATTAGCACTTACAGCCGCTCCTAGATGCAACAAAGGATCCGGCTGCCTGTGGCTGTCAGCTGGTAGGAGAAGGAGGGGAGCGTGAGCACATACTCCTGTCTTCACCTCTCCCCTTGAGCATCTTTTCTTTGTGGTGGTGTGCTTTCTTTTAGAATTTGTGTAGGCTTTGTTAGTGAGGGTGTCAAAAAGAATGGCCTTAAATAATTAGATTATAAACTAGTAGCAGCTTTGGTAACCAGGGCCAGGGATAGTATTTATAAAATTGATTGTCAAAAATTTTTTGTGGCCAGGTGCAGTGGCTTATGCCTGTCAACCCAACAGTTTGAGAAGCCAAAGTGGGAGGATGGCTGGAGTTAGCGACTAACCTGGGCAACACAGGGGGACCTTCAGCTCTACAAAACAATTACAGTGATAAAGTAATGGAAAGAGGGCCATTGGATTGTTTGCAACTCAATGGAGAAATAGTTGAGGGAATGGATGGCCCATTCTCCATGATGTGCTTATTTCACATTGTATGCCTGTATCAAAACATCTCATTTACTGCACAAATACATATACCTGCTATGTACTCACAAAAATAAATAACTAATAAGTACTAGATGCGCTTAAATATTTAACATTTTTTTTTTTTTTTTTTAGGACGGAGTTTCGCTCTTGTTACCCAGGCTGGAGTGCAATGGCACGATCTCGGCTCACCGCAACCTCCGCCTCCTGGGTTCAGGCAATTCTCCTGCCTCAGCCTCCTGAGTAGCTGGGATTACAGGCACGCACCACCATGCCCAGCTAATGTTTTGTATTTTTAGTAGAGACGGGGTTTCACCGTGTTGACCAGGATGGTCTCGATCTCTTGACCTCGTGATCCACCCGCCTCGGCCTCCCAAAGTGCTGGGATTACAAGCCTGAGCCACCGTGCCCGGCCTAAAATTTTTAAATTAGCTGAGTGTGGTGGCCTGCATCTTTAATCTCAGCTGCTCAGGAGGCTGAGGCAGGAGGATCACTTGAGCCCAGTAGTTTGAGGCTGCAGTGAACCATGATTACACCCCTGCACTCCAGCCTCCACAAGAGTGAGACCTGTTGTAAGTAGATAAGTAATACACAATTATCCAAATACATAGCACAGTTATAGGAAGCTGTTATGGTTTATGTAAACTCTTTATTTGCTATATTTGCTCTAATATAATTTTGCTGCTTTTTTTTGCCAATGTGTTGTAAAACGTGTGTTGTAAAAACGTAAGGAAAAGTACATACAACCATAGGAATTTTAGCATTCTACTCAAATAATCTCATTTTCCAGAAATGAATGTCCATGCCAGGGGTTTTCCTGTGGAATAGGTGATCTGTTCCGTCTAAACGCGTCCATGAGTGACTTTTAGCCTCTGTTACTTGAGGGTGATGATACTCTGCATTTACTCATCTTCCTTCCTGTACCTTCTTGTCAGGGAGTAAGAGTGCAAAAATCCAGTCAGGGATATTTGGAAAAGGATCTGCTTATTCGCGACACAATGCTGAAAGACTTTTTAAAAAGCTGATACTTGACAAGATTTTGGATGAAGACTTATATATCAATGCCAATGACCAGGCGATCGCTTATGTGATGCTCGGAAATAAAGCCCAAACTGTACTAAGTGGCAATTTAAAGGTATGGTATTTTTAATGTTTATTTCATTATCTCACAATGAGCGAACCAAAATACGTTACCGCGAAGTATAGAGTCTTTGCCAAAGCTTATAGATACTGAATTTATATGTACTGTTCTATATGAACATACTGTACTGTGTTCTTCTAAAATTGGAAAGAGATCTTAAAATTCAACCCAAGGAATGCGACACCTGTCAAAATGAATGTAATGTGTTGTCAGGTCACTAAATCTCTATTATTAAACGTTTATCAAGAGGCTATTCTATGCTTGACACTGGAGATATGGAGAATGCACAGCCCCTGTTCTCAGGGGGCTCACTATCTGCATGGCCAAATAGAATGACCCCCAGAAAATGCAACTAAGCAATAAAGCAAGCGCCTGTATGGGTACAAGTGCACATCTACCCATTCCTGTGATTTGTTTCTTTCTCATAAAGGTAGATTTTATGGAAACAGAAAATTCCAGCAGTGTGAAAAAACAAAAAGCATTAGTAGCAAAAGTATCTCAGAGGGAAGAGATGGTGAAGAAATGTCTTGGAGAACTCACAGAAGTCTGCAAATCTCTCGGGAAGGTTTTTGGTGTCCATTACTTCAATATTTTCAATACCGTCACTCTAAAGAAGCTTGCAGGTGGGTGCGCATGTATCCTTTTTACTTGGCACATGTGAATAGGCCGAAAGTAAATCCTGCTAGGGAACTCCTTAAGTGATAAATAGATCTCCGTGGTTTGTTTCCTTTTGGGTTTGTTTGTTTGGTTGTTTTGAGGCAGGGTCTTGCTATGTTGCCTGGGCTGGAGTGCTGTGGTGTGATCGTAGCTCACTGCAGCCTCAGCCTCCCAAGTAGCTGGGACTACAGATACATGCCAGCATGCCCAGCTGATTTTTGTATTTTTTTGTAGAGACGGAGTTTCACCATGTTGCCCAGGCTGGTCTCAAACTCTTGGCTTCAGGTGATCCTTCCGCCTCAGCCTGCTGGAATGCCGGGATTGCAGACAGTGATAAGCCACCAAGCCTGTCCTCAGTTGTTTTAGTTATTTTTAATCTCTGGATTAAAAGTTCAGAGAAACAATGGAAACGTGTTCTTTTTGTTTTGTTTTGAGACAGAGTTTCACTCTTGTAGCCCAGGCTGGAGTGCAATGGCACAATCTTGGCTCACCGCAACCTCTGCCTCCTGGGTTCAACCAATTCTCCTGCCTCAGCCTCCCGAGTAGCTGGGATTACAGGTGCACATCACCACACCCAGCTAATTTTGTGTTTTTAGTAGAGACGGGGTTTCTCTATGTTAGTCAGGCTGGTCTCAAACTCCCCACCTCAGGTGATCCACATGCCTCAGCCTCCCAAAGTACTGGGATTTCAGGTGTGAGCCTCCGCGCCCAGCCAAAACTTATTCTTTTTTTTTAAGGACATCTCAAGACCATCAAATATTAAACTCATTCTTAAGCTAAAACATATATACATATATGTGTATATATATATATATTATATGGTATATATGTATATATGTGTATATATATTTTTATATACAGTTTTTTAGCATATATACAGTACTTTGTTATATGTGGTATAATGGTACCCTATGTGTTATATATAGTATAATTTTAATTTTAAACTAACTCCTAAAGAGCTAGATGTTAGACCAGGCATGGTGGCTCACGCCTGTAATCCCAGCACTTTGGGAGGCTGAGGAGGGCAGATCACTTGAGGTAAGGAGTTTGAGACCAGCTTGGCCAACATGGTGAAACCCATTTCTACTAAAAATACAAAAATTAGCCGGGCATGATGGCACACGTCTGTAATCCCAGCGACTCGGGAGGCTCAGGCACGAGAATCGCCTGAACCCAGGAGGCAGAGGTTGGAATGAGCCGAGGTCACGCCACTGCACTCCAGCTTGGGCAACAGAGAAGGCTGTGTCTCAAAATTTTTTTTTTTTTTTTGAGACAGAGCTTCACTCATGTTACCCAGGCTGGAGTGCAATGGCGCGATCTCGGCTCACTGCAACCTCCGCCTCCTGGGTTCAGGCAATTCTCCTGCCTCAGCCTCCTTCAAAATTTTTTTTAAAAGAGCTGGATGTTAGGATATGGATCATTGTGATTTCTTTTAGTTTTATTTTATTTTATTTTATTTTTTTTTTGGACGAAATTTCACTCTTGTTGAAGAGACAGAGCAAAAACTCCATCTCAAAAAAAAAAATCTGCAATGAAGAGCTAATTTCCTTATGAAAAGATTGTGTTTTATGCTTCTTTGAATCTGGATCTAGCACACTGCCATGTCTTTCGTTAATAAATACTTACTGGTCTGAGCTATTTCCGTGGGCAAATAGCCCAGCCCAGAATTTCAGTATTAGAGTCTCTGGAAAACAAGGTGTTCACATAGTTGGCCAGCTGGACTATATTACCTTCCATGTTCCTCTTCATAAAATCTTATCATCTTTTTCCTTCCTTCTCCTACCATAACCGGTCATTACCGTATTTCACTGACGCGAAGATGCAAAGTATATTAAGATACTGGTATTTTATGGACTATTAAGGAAGAAGAAATTCTGCTAAGTAAACTATGACACAGTGCTTTTATTGAAAGAATTGTTTTGTACTGACTTAGACATTGATTTTTATTATACACAGCTCTGTGCCTCTATGAAAAATACATATAATAAAAGTAAATTAATGTAGGTACTTGTAAAAGTTCCCATTCCAAGCCTGCCTCTTCTGAGTCACTTTTTGACTGAGTTGTCCATGTCTTTGTTTATCCCTGTGTCATCACTAACATTTCCATTAGCCGCACGACATTTCCAGAGTGTTCCACTGTTCTCCCCAGGACTGAATGGAAACCTCTGTTATCAGTTCTGTTTTGATGGTGGTGGTTTCTTGATGATGCCAGGAGGTGTCAACAGAAGGCTGTACATCTCTCAGTAACAAAAACGTAATGCTGCTTCATCTACTTTGGGCATCTTCTTTCCTAGGCCATGTAAAGCGCTTGCTTGTACTTGCAGGAAACTGTGGGCTTGGGTTTTTAGAGATAGAGTCTTGTCCTGTTGCCCAGGTTGGGGTGCAGTGGTTGAACACAGCTCACTGCAGCCTATGTTATTGGGCTCAAGCGATGCTCCTGCCCCAGCTTTCTGAGTGGCTGGAACTACAGGCATGTACTACCATGCTTGGCTGGTTTTTAATTTTTTTGTATCGATGGGTTCTTACTATGCTACCCAGTCTAGGGCTGAAGCAGTCCCCCCTTCTTGGCCTCTCAAAGTGTTGGGATTACGGGCGTGAGCCACCACGCTCAGCCAGATAGTGCTTTGCTTTGCTTTGCTTTCTTTTCCTTTCCTTTGAGACAGAATCTCGCTCTATTGCCAGGTTGGAATGCAGTGGTGCAATCTCAGCTCACTACAGCCTCTGCCTCCCGGGTTCAAGTGAGTCCCCTGCCTCAGCCTCTCAAGTATCTGGGACTACAGGTGCATGCCACCACACCCAGCTAATTTTTATATTTTTAGTAGAGACAGGGTTTCACCATGTTGACCAAGATGGTCTCAATCTCTTGACCTTGTGATCTACCCTCCTCAGCCTCCCAAAGTGCTGGGATAGTGCTTTTCTTAATGCCGGATGTATTCCCTGCTCCTCTGTTTCAGAACGTTTCTGCATTCACAATCATTTTCTTAATGCTAATCACAGTATAGTGTTTTTGAAGACACGTCATGGCAGTTAGACACAATACATGAGGTACGAACAGTGCAGTGACTTTGTTGCCATGCTGACAGTACTAATTGCTGTGACTCAGTTCCCACATGCATGAGCTGTCACAACCGCAAGGCAGCTGCCATTTACCATCAGCAGTTCTAAGACACATCTCGACCTCAGGAATGCTAAATTGTGAAACGGTGTGTGTCTTGGAGTTGATGAAATACGGTATTTTCTTATGTTATTTCTAGGCTGTTAGGATAGTTTCTTAACTGCCTTCCTTACCTCCAGCTGTGAGTGTGATGTACACATTTTAATCTTTCAAAAACTAGTAAAACTGCAACAGCTGTCCTGATAAAGTATAAGTTTTATCAAGGGTCTACATTTCGTCTGCCTCTCCCACTTTATCTTCCATTAAACCCCTTCGTCAACCTTCTGTTCTGTCCCACGGTCTGTTGCTTTTCCTCTAAACATGGGAATGATGTGAAAATCACAGATGGAAAAGGATTTGAAATCCACCCTTTGCTCAGCTCAAATACATAGGGATGAAGACTCCCTCATGCACCGACTCCTACAGAGCCGGCCTCCAAAATTCATCCAAGCCTCGCCTCACTGCGTCTCCACGACTGCATTCCAGTTCACTCCATCCTCACTCAGTCCTGCAGTGGCTCCCCCCACGCTCCTGGATGCTACTCTTTCCTTTAGACAGCAGCCAGGGTGACCTTTAAATGCCAGGCTTGTCTAGCTGCAGGGCTGATACGCGGTCTCTGTGCAGAGGACTCGGCTGCCTGCTTGTTGCCTCACCCCACGTGGGGAAGGGGTGGAGGAAGAAAAGTTTGTGTTGGAGGAAGTAACAATTTGGTTATGCCTCCTCGGGTGGGGTGTCCAAGTCTGGAGTGCGGGGAAGAGCCGGAGCTGGAAATAGAAATGCGATGTTCGCAGTAAGGCGAGGGCACACCAGTTTTAGCTAGACGAGTCTTGGCCGTGGGAACAGCGGGCAACAGCAGGGCTGCCCCACTCCGCACACATGGCACAGGTCCTACCCTCGGCTGCCCCTGCCCTGGCTCCTGCCCTTGCCCTGCCCTGGCCTCTGCTGCTGGAATTGAATGATGGGTTCCTGCCCTCTGGGCCCGTCTGCTGCCTCTGAGGTGCTAATTTTGCCTTTTAGAAAATTGGCCTGTGTTCCCAGTACCCTGCAGTTAGTTGGCACTTGGCAGACATGTGCTGAATGCGTGAATTAGCATGAATTCAGTGGGTTTTCCATGGGTGATAATTTAAATTCCTAATTTTATGCCTATGCACAGAATCTTTATCTTCTGATCCTGAGGTTTTGCTTCAAATTGATGGTGTTACTGAAGACAAACTCGAAAAATATGGTGCAGAAGTGATTTCAGTCTTACAGAAATACTCTGAGTGGACATTGCCAGGTTAGTGTACAGCCGTGTGTGTTCTGTAAAAGCCTGTCTAATGTGAAGCAATGTGTCTCACTGGATGAGAGTGATGTAGTTTCAGCTTGTGTGAATACTTCCTACACCTCGTCACACTGACCTCCGCGTCAGCCCCAACTGGTGTGCCCATCACCTCTGAGAGGACACTAGTGCTTCTGCCCACTGTGGGTGCTGTTACTGAACTTACTCATACGGTCCAGAAGGGGACCTTTGCGCCCAGGGGTTGCTGGTTCCTGTAATGCAAGTGCTCCAGGAATCAGAGCCCTGGGTGCCAGCCCCACACCTGCCACCATGTCATGCTGTATGACCTCTGGCAAGCCACCAATAGCCTCTTTCGGAATCAGTTTCCTTCATTAAGGAAGGAACACGTTTTCTGACAAACAAGTCTGAAGATAAAATTTAAGACACGTGTTTAAATGTTTTGGAAGAGTGAGCATCCAACTAGAAGTTGATCAATATTAGTCATTGACAGACCTGCCTGAGTGAGGGCATCGTCATCAGACATTCCCAGAGTCACGTTAGGCCTGCCCTGTGGCACCTCTGATCATGAGCGTCATCATCATTATAGCTTCCAAAATCATTGACGGGCACGGGGATATGAGAACAAGCAACCATTTTGTTGTAGGCAATACTGAGAGCACAGAAGTCACCACGTGGCAGGACACAACAGACAAGCCCAGTTCAGTGTCCATCCTGCTTCTGGACAGGCAGCTTGGGGTCTTCCCAAGGATGATGGAAATGATCAGCAGGAGATAGTTCAAGTTTGCTCTTTCCCAGCCGCAATTTTTTTTCGGAGACAGAGTGTCAGTCTGGAGTCTCACTCTAGGCTGGAATTCAGTGGCACGATCTTGGCTCACTGTACCTCCCAGGTTCAAGCAATTATCCCACCTCGGCCTCCCCAGTAACTGGGACTACAGGTGTGCACCACCACACCCGACTAATATTTGTATTTTTTTTTTTTTTTTTTTTTTTTTTTGAGACGGAGTTTCGCTCTTGTTTCCCAGGCTGGAGTGCAATGGCGCGATCTCGGCTCACCGCAACCTCCGCCTCCTAGGTTCAGGCAATTCTCCTGCCTCAGCCTCCTGAGTAGCTGGGATTACAGGCACGCACCACCATGTCCAGCTAATTTTTTGTATTTTTAGTATAGACGGGGTTTCACCATGTTGACCAGGATGGTCTCGATCTCTTGACCTCGTGATCCACCCGCCTCGGCCTCCCAAAGTGCTGGGATTACAGGCTTGAGCCACCACGCCCGGCCAATTTTTGTATTTTTTGATAGAGATGGGGTTTCACCATGTTGGCCACACTGGTCTCGAACTCATGACCTCAAGTGATCCACCCACCTTAGCCTCCTAAACTGCTGGGATTACAGGTGTGAGCCACACCTGGCCTGGTTCTCATAACTTCTTCTATATGGTAATTATTACGTGAAAAGCCTTGTTCCGAATACATTTTGACAGTGAGCCAGGGTTGCAGCAGCCACAGTGGAGTCCTGTGTCCTCCGTGCTGCCCCTGTAGGGTGGCCTGTAGGACAAGCCAGACCAGCCAGGAAATGGAGACCGGGTTCCCGTGTGACCTATCTATAGGGAGGTTTCATGCATTTTGGAGCCTTGGATGCAAATACTTACGGAAGTTACCATCTTCTTTGCAAATATGTGCTTTATACAGTCCCACCTCCTGCATAATATGTGACATGTTCAGCCATTATGCAAAGACAGGTTTTTTGTCTGTGAAGAGTAAACTAGGGTCTAGAATTTTCTTATGCTCATTACTAAGAAACTATTGTTCAAAGATGAGATACAGAACTGTTTGTTTCCCCTATATTGAGCTTCTTTTTCAGCACATTTAAAATGGTAAGTAAAATTGCCTTCCATATTTATAGCACTTGATACTTTTCGAATTGCCTACCAGAACTAACAGCCCAGTCAACAGCAGGAACACAGGCTGTCTGCAGCCGAGTATGAGCTTAACCTCATATCTGTAGTTAACTTCAAGACTGTCACAAATGTTTTCAATGAATTCTGATTCTCTTTCATTAAAAACGAGTTGCCATTGAGCACTTTGGGGCTTTGTGAAATAGAAAAATGTTCGATTCTTGCTGAATTGTTGAATCCATATGGAAGGACGGCAGCTACGTATCTGCTAAATGGGTCCCCTGCTGTGTGTCTCTTCATATAGACTAAAACCCTGTAAACATCTGCATTTTCCATTTGTAGCTGAGAACAGTTCCCCAGGGATAAGCCTGTCCGGCAGCAGAGGCCCTGGAAGGAGTGCCACTGAGAAGCTGGACGAGGAAATACCCGTATCTTCTCACTACTTTGCAAGTAACTCTGGAAACGAAAGGAAGAGGAAAAGGACGCCAGCCTCCCAAAGGCCTAAGAGGAGAAAAACCGCTTCCGGTGGTTCCAAGGCAAAGGGGTATATTTTGTGACATCTTTTGCAATAGAGGGTACAAGGGAAGTAAGGACAAAAGTGCAGCAGCTCTGCCTTGCTTTGAAGCATTTATTAAATAAGCCATTATTAAATATTGCCTCCTCAGTTAATGGAGTGATGATTAAGGTTTGATCCAAAACAAAAATATTTGCTTCAGGAAATAACACCAAAAAATATTTGCTTCAGATGTTTAAAACATCTACTGACTAATAATTGGGGCCGGGCGTGGTGGCTCAAGCCTGTAATCCCAGCACTTTGGGAGGCCGAGGCGGGTGGATCACGAGGTCAAGAGATGGAGACCATCCTGGTCAACATGGTGAAACCCCGTCTCTACTAAAACTACAAAAAATTAGCTGGGCATGGTGGCGCGTGCCTGTAATCCTAGCTACTCAGGAGGCTGAGGCAGGAGAATTGCCTGAACCCAGGAGGC